CACAATGACTCCAACCCAGCTGGCCTCGGATCCATAGCTCAGAAGAAAGTATAAGATCAGGTAAGAGTGTGCCAGCCTTGGCAGGCGCATGGGAACCAGCTGTAAACTGAGAGAATGAGCCATCCCAGACCCTTAAAAGATGCCTCATGATAAGACTTCAGGAACACACATTCAGTGGGATTTTGATCTCAGCACTGGAGTCCAAGCTGGGAGTGAAGCTCAGGGGATAGAGTGTTTGCTTAGAAATGATGTCTAGAAAGTTCATTCCTCATCCAGAAAGGCTAGGTGGGAGCCATCGCAGACAAATCTCTCCAAAGTGCTGGGAATTCCACATCACAGCACAGAGCCAGCCCACATCATGGGAACATTGTCCTGTGTTTGGATTTATCTGAGAGGGGCTTCCTCAGATGAAGTATACTTGGTAAGATTTTCAGAAATGTTGATTTTTTTTTAATTTATTCTTAGTGAATAAACGTTTGTTTGAGGAGCAACAAAATGGATAGGCCTAACCTCTAGTGATCCCTGGAGAGACAAGAATCCAAAGCATACTAAAGTGGAAGTGAGTTTAGATCTAGGGCAAAGATTAATCTGAACCTGATGAGACCTTGATCAATGCAGTTGCTTCATTTCCACCGTGACCTGAAACAGCAAGCTCCTACCGCTCCCCAGAGTTGACTGTGCACACTACTGTCTGTTCATCACTCACACCGTGCCCAGCAAGCTCTTACTGCTCCTCAGAACCGACTGTTCACACAGTTGTCCAAAAACACAGTCGGGACAGTGACTTCAAATCAGCCATGAGGGAATTTTTGCACCACAGAAATTGGCAAATTCTACAAATCTGACTTCGCCATCACTACCACCTTATCCCTAATTCCAAAGCAGATCATTAAACAGCCTACTGCTGCTATCTTAGAAGTACCAGGTCCAGGATGTGCTTGTGAAAAAAAGTCACAAAACTCACTTTTGAGTTTCGAACTGGGAATAAACCAGGCAGGATAACAAACTAAATCTGAATTAGATGGAAGTTTACAGTTGAGTCATCTCGTCACTGGTTTCACTTTTCCAGCTTGCTTTTCCAAAGAGGTCAAGGTTCAGGCTTTCTTTACTCTGACCTGAGGTTTTGGGGTGTGTGTGTGTATAGGAGAAGGGTCTGAACCATGTGAGGTACCTCCCTGGACAGCCGACCACAAGCCCCAGGAAGGACCCCACTTTTCAGAAAGCATTCAGATGTGTGTAACTGTAGACAGAAACAACGGTGGAAAGTGCGAGGGTGGCTGCCTGTGGCCCCATTCTCTCTCCTCCGAGATAGCCTTCCTCAGCTCTCCTCCTCTCCAGCCTTCTAATTCAGAGTCTCTTCTCTCCAGACACCGTCCTGGTTATCTCCACTGTGCAGTCCTCCAGTCCACTAAATCTGCTTTTCAAATAGCTCAGGTGTTATCACAGGATTTATTTTCTCCATCCTGAATATTCTTCCTTCCCAGCTAGGAAATCGAGGTTGGTCACCTCAACTCCTTGGCTCCCTGCAGCACATGGCCTGCCAAACCTTAGTAATTATAAACTCAAGAAAAACAAAAGTTACACAAGAAAGGGAATAGCACTAGGTATGTGGCAAGGCAAAGAACAAAGTTACATAAGCATAATTATGCAAATATCTGAAATTTTATTTAACCAGACTTTTATCGCTGACAAATCGCCACAGAAAATCAACTTACAGGAGGGAAGATCTATTCTGGTTCAGAAATTTCACATCATGGCCGTCTAGTTCCATTGTTTCTAGATCTGTGGAAAGGCAACGGTGTGATGGAGCCAGCCTGCTTTCCTCATGCACCTTGGAACAGAAAAAGAGAACTCAAGAGGCCAGGAACAAGACATGGTCCTCAGGATGTAGCAACAAGAACTTCCTATAATTAGGTTTCACCTCCTAAGTGCCATTTCCTTCCAATTCTTCTCAAATTATGAATCCACTTGTCAATTAATGCACAGATCCAATCCCTTTCCAAAAAGCACCACCATTAAATGTTGCTGCAATGGGACCAAACCTTCAATGCTTGAGCATTTCAGACTCAAACTATGACATTTCGTTCTTGGCTCCCAAAGGCTCATTTGACAATGCAAAATTTGTTCAAAGGCTTTATAAGAGTCCCCAAAGTCTTAGTAGTCCCAACATTGCTCAACATTCAAGTCCAACATTTTTTCTAAGACTCAAGACAAACTCTGAGCTGCAAACCCATGTAAAATTAAAACACATACAATGGTGCGATAGCCACCTAGTGAACATTCCCATTCAAAAGGAAAAATAGGAGTAGCAAGAGGGATTGGACTAAAGCAAGACCAAATCCAACAGGGCAAGCATACATCCAAGTAAACTCTTTCTTGAACCCATTTTCTCCATGGTTGGTGTTTTGTGTGGCTGACAAAATGGCACTGTTTGGTAAGGAGACAAACCTTCACCATCCATACTAAATCACTTCGATCTTTCAGGAGCTGGCAAAATATCATCACCATTACCCTGTCTTTGAACAGTTCTGGTTTTCAGAACATGCTTTGTTTTAAGAAGTTTAAAACCAGAGCTTTTTGCTGAAAGCTGGAAGCTTTGCTGGGTTTAATAGTACAGACTCATAATCCTAGCTCTTGGAAAGCTATAGCAGGAGGATCGTGATTTCAAAGACAACCTGGGATATATAGCAATACCCTGTCTCAAGAATGAAAGAAAGAGGGGGGAAGGAAGGAAGAGTGAAAGGGAAGGAGAAGAAAGAGATTTTAATTCAATAGAAAACACAGCACCCCCCAAAAAATTCACAACCTTGCAGGTATTGTTTGAACACTTGATACAGTCTAGGGATCTTACTAGGGTTCATTTTCTCTGCCAGTTAAAGAATTAAAATTCAGGAAAAATCTGGATGGGGCACAACATGTGGCAACAGAGAAATCTTAAACATCTGAGACAAAAGCAGGTGTTTAAACAGTGAACAAAATCAGCAGTAGAAAAAGTGATTATGGAGGGCTGAATAAACACATACACAGCAGACATACAGAGAAAAAGACCCTCTGCAAAGCAGATCAAAGACTGTGAGCCCCTGTAAAATTCAAAATCCAGGCAATAGATAGATAGATGATAGATAGATAGATAGATAGATAGATAGATAGATAGATAGATAGATAGATAGAGCAGGCACATAGAAGACATTCTCATCCCAAAAAGGGAAACTAGGAGTAGAAAGAAAGCAGAAGCTTCTTATGGGCTGGCGGTTGAACCGCCTCTGAGAGCTTTGCTCCTTCAGTCTAGGGCAGGTCAGTTTGCAGACAGATAACATAATGGACTGTGATCCTTGGTCTGCAGCTGTGACATGTCAAGCCCCAGCCTCGAACTCCTTGAACCAGCTCACCAGCAGGAATTGGTGGAAAACAGAGACCCACAAGGCCTTTCATTTAAGCTGCCAGACTTTCATCCCAAGTCAGGAAGATGCCAGCCATCTTGGAAATTCATCACCTTTATAACCTAGGCAGGGGCCCTCTCCTTATCTGTCTGTCTACCAGGGAGTCTAATCCCTAGTCTCTCAAACTCACATGAAGTGCCAGAGTTTCTAGCCCTGCTTGTGTGGCAGGGCAAGACAAAGCAGAGAGGATCCACCATCTTGCATTTTTGCTGAGGTTATTTCAGGTTTATCAAGATTTTGAGCTCCTTGATGGAGAATCCCCCATGAAAAACTGCTCAACTCCATTCTAGGACCCAAGGCCAAGAAGTCTTAAGATAACTTAAATCGCTTGCTTGTGCAAACCTCCCCCTGCAAGTCCTGAGAAAGATACCAGGATTTGGTCTTGACCTTTAATAGCCCCTTGGTATAAATGTTTGAGGCCGCGCTTGGGTCCCTAAATGCCTGTGTAGGCCCAGCCAGCTGGAATAGAGACTGAGTGGTCATCTCTGGCGGGCTCCTGTGGTGCTTGTACCTCGCAAGGCCTCCACTGCCTGTCTCACCTCATGTCAAGCGCTGTCTGCTGCCTTCAACCCTTCCCTGGAGTTTCAGTGCCCACAAGGTCCTCTCAGTGATCTCCTGTACCCTCTTAACCCCTCCCTGACTCCTATCACTAGCCAAGAGCCAGCAAGTAGAGGTCCCCACTGTGCTAATTCTTGCCTGGGACACAAGAGGCACGTGTCTAAGGCTGTGAACTAGGTTTGTTGGTTATTGTTTGGTTTTGTTTCTTTGTTGAGTCCCCAGATCATGCCAGAGCTTTCAAAATCATGCCACAGAGCACATCCTACAAACACTCCATCAACACTCTCCCACTGAGGGACAGATGTGAAAGGTCTCAGAAATGGGATCCAAGAGGAACAATGAGACGGGTTGTTGGGAGCATGGAGTTTATTAGAAGCATTGCCATGGACAGACAGACAGTAACAGAATGGTAGGAGCTCTGAGGAGAGTTCAGGGACAGTGTGGCAGATTCTTCTCAGAAGTACAATTGGGTCCAGGAGACAGAAGTGGGGTCCCTTCTTCAGGGCTCTTTGGAAGAAGAAGCATTCTCAGCATGAGGCAGTAGCCAGATTCTCTTATTTCCCTACGGACATCAGGGAAGGAGAACGGGGAGCAGGGTCTGTGGCCATCCGTAACCTTTGGATGCCTGGGGCCTGCAAATTTCCCGCAGTGCTAGAGAGTCACAGTGTTCTCAATACGGTATGTAGGTGGGGAGGGGCTGCTGCAGGGATTGTAGCTTGGGCTGCCGTCCAATCTGGATTCTAACATAATGGACTGTGATCCTTCTGGATATTTTCTTGACTTCTGCTCCCAACAAGGTAGGGCAGCTCTCTGAGGCCCCGAGTTCCCCGCACTACTTGTTGGAGCACACCCAGTCCTCCTGCCCGTTCATGCTCGTGCAGCATCTTCCCTTCCCCAGCTCTGGGCAGGGCTCCGGGACCAGCTAAAGGCCCCAAGCTTGTGGGTGTTGGACCAGTCCAGCCTTTCTTGTGCAATCGTCCTCTCTCATCATCCTCTCTCCAGTGGGCTCTCCGTGCTAGAAGAAAGCCTGCTTGCGTCAGAAGCACCTGGTGAGAGGTGATTTCACCATCGGCCAGGCACAGCTGCCTGGTGCTCACTTGTCTTCGGGAATCAGCCTCTATATCTATCCAAGCAAAGCTGGGATCCTGACACTCAGCCATGATGAGGAGCGGCTTCCAGAGGGTGGCAAGACTTGCCCACCACAGAGCTCTCCTGAGAACCCATCTCCTGCCCAGACTCCACCAGGCCTCAGCATTCGGATCATCCACAGACTCCCTGGTAAGTTCCCAAGGAGTCAGACGAGCACCCTTCCTCTCTAAGGGTGTAGAGCTCGAACACCCTCGATTCTCTTTGCCTGCCTTATTTCTGGGCTGATACAGAGCTGTTTGGGTTAGCAAAGGGAAAATGCTTTGGAGTACTTACTAAGCCATATCTCAGAGTAAATCTAGTAGGACAAACCCTGGCCCAAATCCTGTGTACCCGCCAGCAAATCTCTTATAGGGTTCACACTGCCACAGATAAGTAGGGTATCCCCCGACAAAAGCCTGTCGGCTTGCTTATTACCCACAGAAGAGACTAATGAAAGACATATGGCAGATGGCCACATAGCCCCTGTCCCTGGCCGTAATAGTACAATTCCTTGGGGCCTGAAAGCATTTCAAAGAAGCTGCCAAACAGGCCCATAAGTAACTAGCCACTCCTCTGCACCGTGTGGCTGGAATGGCCAGCTCTCATCCCCATTCCAACATCCCCACTTTTTTAACACCCCTAGGTATCTCCAAACCCCTACAAGGAAGATGGGCTCTTTCTTCGGGTAACACTCCATCAGACAGGACTCAAATGCCCCAAACCCAGACACAGACTAAATGATGGACCCATGGCCCAAGAACAATCCCCCACCTTCCAAGATGTCATCATACCACTCTGATTTTTCTTGCCTAGGTTGAAAGATTCTGTCCAGAGAAAACAGATTTAAAGGATTATGCCCTTCCCAACTCCAGCTGGTGTCCAGATATGCTGAGCCTGTACCAAGAATTTCTGGAGAAAACCAAGTCAGGCGGGTGGATTAAAATACCCTCCTTCAAGTCCAACAGAGAACATATCCAAGGGCTTAAGCTCCCATTAGGGCTGGTAACTGACTCAGGTAAGACCAGTTCTGAAAGGGTTCAGAAGCACACACACACACACACACACACACACACACACACACCTTGACCCACCCATCCACACCTCCATCATCCCCCACACACCTCTGCCAGCCCCACACATACACACCTCCACACACACAAACACCCCTCCAAATACATACCTACACACACACACACACACACACCCATCCACACCTCCATCATCCCCCATACACCTCTGCCCATCTCACACATACACACCTCCACATACACAAACACCCCTCCATACACATACACCTATACACACACTTCCTACCCACAGTGGGGGACCCTGCCTGAAACCCTCAGTGAGTTCAACTTGCCGCCTTTCTCTGGTTTGAAAACATTCAGGAAGACTAGTCATGGTGGCACACAAATTCCAGCACTCAGAAGGCAGAGGCTGGTGAATGTGAGAGTTCGAGGCCAGCCTGGGCTACAAGGCCACCCAGGACTACATAGGAAGAATTTTTCTCCGAAGGGAAGAGGGAAAATATTATCAAAATAAATTGTATGACATTCCACAAGAAGCAGTACAATAAAGAATGTTGAGACATTCAGGAAGGAAATTCATGAGCCCGCAGACTGGGGGCTGTGCTTCCTGCTCTCCTCCTCCTCCCCCTGCAGACTGGCTGTGGATGGGAAGCCTACCCGCACTGGTCTCTCTGCCTGGCTCCTTTACTTGGTGTAAAGGGAGCACACCCGAGTGGCAGCTTTGCTTCCAGCTGAAGCCCAGCTGGAGCATTGCCAGTACAGGGTTCTGCTCTTCTGGCATCTCACCAATGGCTCTTCCCTCAGCTAGCTTTGTTCCAGCCCCTCCCTCCCATCCTTGTAAAATCCCTTGGGCTTCTCCAACCTACTACAGGTCTCAGCTCGCCACCTCTGCTCAGCTAGGCAGAATGGTACCTGGAGACATACAATGAATTTGATTGACAGAGCTGCCACCTTTACCCTGCCCTGCTCTCTGTCTCTGTCTGTGTAGGTGTGTGTGTCTATCTGTCTGTTTTCTTTCCTTTTCATTCATGCATGTGGTGCTTCTCAGTAGTGAATGAATGACATAAGTAGTAGGTGACCTTTGAACCCATGGTACCAGCCAAGCAGAGGCACCAAGCCAGGCATGGTGCCTACCCTTAGTCCCAGCAGAGGCAGGTGGATCTTTTACGTTCGAGTCCAGTCTGGTCTACAGGGTTAGTTTCAAGACATCCAGGGCTACACAGAGAAACCTGTCTTGGAATGGAAAAATTTTTTCTCCGGGCTGAGGAAATGGCTTGGTTGGCAGAATGCTTGCCTAGACCTGCACTTTGTGAGTGTTTATCTCCGCAGGACCCAGGCTCTCTGAAGACAACGGGCAAGGAACTTGTTTTGTCCCCTCCTCCCCTGTACAAAGGCTCCCTAGCAACAGGGGTAGGGTTCCGGTCCTCTCCCCTTGCTCCTGTTGAATTCACAGTGCTGTGCCCTGACAGGTCCCCACACTCTGAGGTGTCTCTGTTTCAAACTCTCCTCTCTCCCCAGACAAACAGGACTGGCGCATCTTTACCAGATGCATCCTGCTGGAAGGACAAGGCTATGAATACGTCATCTTTTTCCACCCATCTGAGAAGAAGTCAGTCTGTCTCTTCCAGCCAGGCCCCTACCTGGAGGGGCCACCAGGGTAAGGCCTCAGACAGGCCAGGACAGATTCCTCACAGATTCGGCTCAGCAGGGTGGGTCCAGCACCCACCAGGCCCTGGAGTCTCTAAAGACCTAAAATGGGGTGCAAGGAAACTTCTTCTCAATGCTGGGCCTGTGAGGACAATCTGAGTTAGCTTCCCCAGATTCCACTATGCATGTATAAAGAATGCCCTTACTGAAGCTTCAGAATGTTCCAGAAACAAAAGTCCTAAGAGGCCAAGAACCTCTTCCCTTCTGAAAGTGAAATCCCCTAGGAGATGGGGTGGAGGGAATGTGGGTGCGTTCCGTCCAGGGGTGCTGAGCTATAAGAAGAGGCAGAGTGGATGATCCAACTCTGAGTACAGAGACGAGATTAATATCCACTGGGTCCCAGGCAATGCAAGTGGGAAGGAGTTGCCCACTGGCTAAGAGCCGCTCTGCAGAACCAGCATTTTGCCAGTGAATCCTTTGTCTGAGTAGGGAACACAGAGAGGCGAGGGCAGGTCTTGGCACCAACTCATTTTCTCTTCACGGCATGAGATGTGGCAAATCGATGAGATAGAAGTTCTTTCTATTCCCAGTACCTGGTGGGGAAATGAAGGCTGAGAGTGTTTTTGCAAGCTGGCCTAGCACACATGGCAGAACCAGGAGTCCAGCCAGGCGGTATGATGCCCCTAAAGCAGTGGAGAGAGCCTGAGGATGCCCCTGCGGCCTTGGCAGAACAGCGAGAGCAGCTGGCCTGAGTCCATGATGAGCCGCACTTTCTTTCAAAGCCCAGATCTGTCTATGTCATTTGCGCATTATCTGAGGGTGCCTTGGTATTCTCCCCTGTCTTAACCAGCAGTGACAAAGCCCTGTCATGAAGTACAATTTGCATAAATGACAATGAAGTTTTCACAAAGTTGAAGTAGAACAAATGTCTGCACGATCACACCAAAGTGGGCTCTGGTGTTTTCCAGGCAGGGCTGCTCAGAAGCCTACCTTGCTGGCTCTTTAACAAGTCATAAGCAAATTAACCTGCCTTGAAACTGTGGGTCCAGCATGGCTGAGTGGCTGGTAGGGTGAGAGACAGCCCAAGCTAAACATGTAGTTCAGACCTCCGATCCCAGAGCTCAGGAGACTGAGGCAGGATTGTCATGAGTTCAAGTCTAGAATAGGATTTCGAGTGAGATCATATCTCAAAAAGCAAAACAATAAAAGACTAATCCAAAGGTTCAGGGTTTTTTCCTTTGAATATACATGGCCTTCTAAAATGTGGCAGATGCAGTCAGCAATTAGGTGATGAATCAGAAAAAAAATTGTCTCTATTAATCTTGTGAGGAAAGAAAATCTCTCGGTGCGGTAAAATAGCTGTATCAGTGAAGCAAAGAGGAAGGACCTACTGAAGCCCCTGGGATGATCTCTGTGTGCCTTTCTTGTTTAGCTGCCTGAGATTGAAGATTCATGTTTGGGGGACTCAGGAGAAAGAGAAAAGCTTGAGAGGTTTTTGGGAGAAGCACCCCAAAGAGGGGATCTTTCTAGTAGCCCTAACCCCAATCTTACTCCCCATCCCGATCTCCAGGTTTGCCCATGGAGGGTCACTGGCGGCCATGATGGATGAGACATTTTCTAAAACTGCCTATCTGGCTGGAGAAGGACTATTCACACTAAGTCTCAACATCAGATTTAAAAAGTAAGTGTGACTCCCTCAGGCCATGGCTGAGGTCAGGGCTCTGTTTTATCATGGGGTTGTGTAAGCTCCGCAAGTCTCATCTGCCAGCCAAGCTTTTCTCTTGTCCTGGGCCAGAAATCAACCTCTGCCATTCAACACCAGGAACCAACAAAACAGCCCCTGAACCTAGGGCTGCTTGTGAGTCCTGGAAGCAGGGTAAGGGAGGGAGGCCAAAGTTGGGAGAAGTACAGAAATGAACTCAGTTGCCCCCTCTTCCAGCTTAATCCCTGTGGGCTCTCTGGCTGTCCTGGACATTCAAGTAGAAAAGATTGAAGACCAGAAGCTGTACATGTCCTGCATCGCCCAGAGCAGAGACAAGCAGACAGTCTATGCCAAGTCCTCTGGTACCGACATCCTCATCCTCTAGCTGGGAAGGGGAGGGAAGAGGAGAGCTAATGATCTGGTCCCAAGCTGGGGTCTAGCCCTGTGAGGGGTGGGACTGGGTACCTGCTAGAGACGTGGATGAAGAGAAAGAGAACAAAATGGAATTGTTTTCCTAAGTGAGGGTTACACGACCCGCACCGCAGGACAGTTTCAGGCGATGGGCAATCTGAGGCAAATGGGCCATGCCCTCAGCACACTCCTGCTGCCCTGGTCCTGACTCTCAGCACTCAGCTCACTTTTTTCTTGCAGGTGTTTTCCTTCAGCTGCAGCTGGAGGAAGAGCCACCCCAGCAGCAATGACTATGCCTTCAGCAAAGTCAATCGTAAGGACTGGCCTGCCTGGGACTTCCACATAACAGGGTCCCCGAGAATCAGGTGGCAGATGCAGAAGAAGGCACTCTTAGCATCCCATAATCAGCCCCAAAACCTTCTATAGTTGGAATCAAAATTGTCGACGGGTCAGAGATGGCTCAGCAGTTAAAAACTCTGGCTGCTCTTTGACTGCCAGCACCGACATGGTGACTCACAACCATCTGGATTTCCTGTCCCAGGGGATCTGACGTCCTTATCTGGCCTCCATAGAGTACCAGACATGCATATGGTACCTTACATGCAGACCAAGAATCCATACACATAAAATAAATTAATTTTTTAAAGTTGTTTTATCAAATTGATTTTTCAATCTTCCAGTGCCCACCTCCCACCAGCACCAACAGAGGACCCGGAGCTCCTGCCAAGTGTGAGGTGTCTGGTCTGCTGCATTGCGAGACAGGGTCACTGACCTGGAGATGCAGCCCAAAGCACCATATCGGGATTATCTCACCTTCCCCTGGCTCCCGTCAGAAGAAACAAATGTACTTCTGCTCCCCCTTCTGTAACTATGAGGTCACCTGGGGAGGGGTGGTCTTCAGGATGTGTGATCTAGAGCAGCTTCGCTACCTAGACAACAAAATGCTAATGATGTGATGTCTCAGTGTTAGAGTGGTTGACTGTTTGAGTTCTCCTTTGTATCATGTTAATAAAATCTTTTGTTACCTTCTCTCCCCAACACACACACATTTACATTGGGTATAAAAGCCATGGAAAAATAAACAAGGGCAATTTTCAGTTATCACTGGAATGCCCTCCCTTCTGTGGTTTCTGTCTTATTATTTTTTATGTATCTGCATATCCTTTTTTTATATTTCTAATTTCCCACACCCCTACCCTGGTCCTTGACACAGACCTGGGTTCCAGGACCAGCACTGCAAAAAATAAAAAGTTAAGTGGGACCAGCTGGGAGGAGGGAAGATGAGATCTTCCAAGCAGAGGGAAGTCTAAGAACAGAGAGGCATGGTGGTGTGAAAGAGTGCAGGGGATCTTAAGGGCCCCAAAGGACTTAAGGGCAAGAGACGGAGGAAAAAGACTGCAGCGGAGCCGGTACAGGCCCTAAATTCAGAATCCTCACCCCAGAGCATGAACTTTGCCTTGTATGCAACAGGAGCCTTAAAGGGTCTGGTGGGGGTGGGGAAGTATAACGTTCTGTGTTTTGTAAAGAGACACTCGAGCAGGAAAGAGCCAAGAAGACCAAAGGCAGAGAATTGGATAGGAGACCCCTGCAAGGCTCTGAGCTGGCCACAGTAGGGGCTGCACGGGTCAGATCCACTGACAGGAGACCTTTGGGGAATAAAAGAAGTAGGACATACACCAATTGTACAGAGTGTTATCATCCAGGCAAATGCAAACCCGGTCCTGCCCCTTGGCAGAGGCAGAGTGACCACACACACACACACACACACACACACACACACACACACACAGGGCAGTACCCTGACTCTGTACGCAGGTGCAAAGCTCCCTTTAAGAGACAAGCTCCGCCCACTCTCTTCCTCTTTCTGCAGTTTTTTTCTGAGGCAGGTCTCTATCTCCGTCTCTCTGTCCCACCACTCCCCCCCCCTTCCCCAATAAACTTCCTTCCCATGTAAGCTCTATCTGATGGTGTGTTCGTTCCCCATCCTGGGAACCACAGTCCTATCTTGCGCTGCATATCATTTCGTAGACTGTATCTGTGAAGGGGAGCTGGCTGGCTGGGGGTTCCCAAGTGGCATTCCTGGGAAGGAGAAGAGAGCTATGAACAGAGGTGGCGTGGCACTCGATGTATTCTGCACTGGGTATGAAGTGCTCAGGGAAACACCAGCAAGAACCAGGCTACTGAGCAGGGAGAGCCGCCTGGAAGTGGCTAATGTGGACTGGAAGGACAGAATCAAGAGCAACGACAGTGAAGTGCTGAGGGAAGAACAGAGGAAAGTCAAAAAATGGCCCTAGGCCCACACTACAGCTTAAAATCTGGCGGAAGACCAATGACTAAAGAGACTGGGAAGAGGGCAGGTGAAGAAGAGCGAAACTAGACATAATAGAGACTTCGGGGCGTGGCCTTAAGGAAGGAAGCAGGGGAGGCAAATAGTAGATGAACAAATGACTAGACATTGAGGGAATGAATGCATATTTTTATTTCTGGGAATTTTGTTGTTATTGCTGTTCTGTAAGGAAAGAAATTTAACTGTATAAACTGGTTCAGAACCGGTCTTTGAAATGGATCATGAACACAGTTGGAGACAGGGGTCACAGAACAGCATCAGATTGACTCTGAGATCCAAAGTCGGGAAACAGGGACACAGAATAGCAAAGGGATTGAGGGGATGTACACCAGAACACCTCAGCTTCATCCGTGGTATCAGAGGATGGCCTTAGGTGGGAAAAAAGACTGGATTAGGATTCGGAAAGCCTCTGTGACATCAGGAAACCAAGTTGGTCAAGTACACGTATGACCCCATTGCTGCACCAGCAGGGCAACTGCAGTTCTCTGAGCAAGGGACATCAGGATTAACACACAGCACAACTTCAGGTTCTGCAGACAAGTCCTTATTACACTTTCTTACAAGTATATATAGCCCTCAAGCAGGAAGCTCATTACCATAGGGGTAAACATCTTTAGAAACATTGCTGAAAACAACAGATTGTTTTTGTTCTTTTTTTCAGAACAACCAACCACAAGAGTGCAAAACAGATCAAGTGGGGGTGTGAAGACCTGTCCTCAGGGGACCCAACAATTCCCTCTTTTTTATTTTAAAAGCTTGAGAGCCTCTGTCTAAGGACTCTCCCGGATAGAGGCTCTTAGCCATCTACGAGAGACCTTAATCCCTGTCTTAGGCGAGCTCTCTATACCAGGACAGTTGCCCGTCATAAGGATCCCTCATGACTTCTGCAGCATCTGCAGCCAGACTTGGTGCACTTCCTAATTACTGTAACACAGCCCGAGCAACACTTGTCAAGTGACAGTGTGCTGTACGTGGGATTGCTGCATAGAGCGGCAGAGAATCCAAAAACAGATTCCTAACCCCAATAGCAATATCAGCACAAGTGAGAGCGGTCCAAACAATCACTGGACCTAGCCCCCAAGCTGGGCCATGGCATTCCACTGACTGGATCCAGACCCAGCAGGGACCCACGTGCTATTAATACTAACAGTATGATGAGCTGTCTGCAGGGTCAAATTCAAAAAGGAGGAATTCCAAGGGCCATCCAAACATGCATTCAACTGTTCAACCACATCAGAAGCACCCACAGCATCAGCAGGTGCAACGCAAGCTGCACTACAAGAATGAGAACAAGACACCCGCCTTAAGAGCCAAAGGGAATCCACCCGCTCCTGCAAAAACACAGTCCATCGATCCAAACTCAAAAGTTCAAATCAAATATGAGAGTCCAGAGCACTCCGTGTCCGCAGGGCCCCGCCAACCTCCCCAGACAGCACAGTCTCCGCAGTCACAGCCGTCTGTGAAATGGCAACTCCAGCAACCGTAGCCGCAGTGGCAGTGACAGCAATAGCAGCAACAACTGCAGCTGTTATCCCAAAGTTTCACCCACTGTCAATAAAGGATGATCCCCTGACGTTCTTGAGACACCAGCACTGGCAGAGGAATCACAGCAGGCACTCAAACGATCAAGGATCCATCAGAACCATCCCAGCAATTATTCAGCTTGCAGATCCTGGAAGAACAATTAAGAATATAGAACAATGGCAATGGGTTTTGATCCTACTGCACGTACTGGCTTTGTGGGAGCCTAGGCAGTTTGGATGCTCACCTTACTAGACCTGGAAGGAAGTGGGAGGTCCTTGGACTCCCCACAGGGCAGGGAACCCTGACTGCTCTTCGGGCTGACGAGGGAGGGGGAGTTGATTGGGGGAGGGGGGAGAAATGGGAGGCGGTGGTGGGGAGGAGACAGAAATCTTAAATAAATAATAAATAAATAAATAATAAAAAATAATATCGCCCCCCAAAGTGCCATTCCACAATACAAAGAAAAATGGGGCAAGAATACAAGCAGAGGATCGAATAGTCATATTGCACCCAGCAGTATAATTTATCTTTAGAGAGGTTCATTTATACCCAGGAAAGGTGAAATTTTTCATCGCGGGCCTATGGCCATACCCCCACATGTCTTTCCTACCTTTACCAAATCAGGCTCTTGAGTGATACATTCTCCCCATATAACTGTGGGGTGGAGATTAAAATCTCTGTCAGCATCCCAACACCGGGGAGCAGGCTTGGGACCATAGGTCAAATCCTCTTTCAGGATGAGATGCAGTATATTTCTAAATCTTATCACCCTACTATGAGTATGATTAATAGAAGCATTATGCAATGATAAACATCCATGATGAAAGGAGGACTCCTTCACCAATGACAGGTTAGAAAAAAGTGAGGGAAAGAGGGGGCTATTTTTACTAACTGGCATTAAAAGTGGGGGTTTCTCACCAGACTCCCCACCCCATCACCAATGATTCTGTTGTTGTTACCAGAATCATCACCTGAAGCAGAAGGGGTGTCAAGGTCTTCATCCTGGGTCACTGGCCTTACGCACCACTCTGATACCCAAATCGGTTTATCAATTCCTGGAGGAATTGAAGCACATACAGCCCCCCCCTCACCTTTGCCAACAAGGGGGTTGGTTCCATCCATCTTCCTGTTTGCAGATCTTTCCAACAAACCCATCCCAGGCTCTGAGCCCTAACTTGTGTATGTCGCTCCATAGGCGAGCACCCTTCAGCATCCACAGTCAAAAAATTTAAAATAAAGAGAATGGTGGATAATTGAGTTGCTGGGGAGAATATGAACTCCCCCTTTTTATTTTTTGAAAATATTGCTTGAGGGTCTGATTGGCTCTTTCCACAATTGCTTGACCCATTGGGTTATTTGTGATGCCTATTTTATGGGAAATTTCATAGAATGAACAAAAGGATAAAAAATTTTTGCTGACATATACTGAGCCATTATCTGTCTTAATAACCATATAGGCAAAAGCAGATAGGCAGTGTGAAATAGCATCTTTTGCTCGTTCTCCCGAATGCAAGGATACGAAAATTACTCCTGAAAAGGTGTCTACTGATACATGGACAAACTTAAGTTTCCCTGCAGCAGGCAGGTGTGTAACATCCATCTGCCGTAACTGATTTGGTCGTAATCCTCGTGGGTTAACTCCTAAATTGGGGCTACCTAGGAAAGGAGCACACTGAGGACAAGAAGATGTAATGGCTTGTGCTACTTCTCGCGTGCATCGAGTATGATGCCAAAGGGAGCACGCACTAAGGTGAAATTTATCATGTATTTCTTGGGTGCAGTCAGAAGTAAAGCAAACACATTTATCAGCTAAATCATTACCTGCTGACAATGGCCCAGGCAGCCCAATGGGCCCCCCTTTTTATACCGTGAGCACTTTCCTGGTCTGGCAGTAGCTCTCTGAGGGAGCTGTGGACAATCCTTTTTTTTTTTTTTTAATGTCCAGGGGCACCACAGTTAAAGCAGGTTTTATCCCCAGTTGTCCGGGGTCCTTGCCCAGGCCTAATGGCAGCGGCAATCACCTGGCCCTGAATGAAGTGCCCATCAATATCCCGGCAGATCCGGATGTATTCATTTAAGCTTTTTACCTTATGTGACCGCAAGGCTTCCTTACAGTATTTATTTGCATTCTCAAATGCCAGCTTCTTAACAATGGGCATAGCTGTGGTCACATCACCAAACAATCTCCCTGCCAACTGAAATAGCC